CCCACCCCCACCCACCCCCACTAATGTACGTCAGTGTGTTCACTAGTGCAGAGAAGCAGAAAAAGAGTGTGACATAAGGAAACAGAGAGAAAGAGAAATAAGGAAGTATCTTAATTCAACAAATGTTTATCTGATCACAAAGAAACACAAAGGGGTTATCTTGACAGGTGAACAGTCAACACTTTACACACCTGGTGGGAAAATACACTAAGACTAAGAAGAAGACTGTAAATATCTTGAAGTTGATTAGTGACTTGCTCACAGCAAAAATTAACTGTTTCCTCTTAGAGTAAATCATTTGCATAGTGTTTCTCTACACTGCTTCAAAGTCAGAAAATATCTGCTTTGTTATTTTGACATTTAATATACTGATGTATTTTATTCATGTTTTTTTTTTTTTAAACAAAGAATATATTTTCAGAAGAAATGTAATTTATATATATATTTATGAGCTTTGTTTAAATATTGGTAAAACATATTTTTATATATAATAACACAGATCAGATAAATATCGAGTTACAGAAAAAGTGAATTCATTCATGTGCTGTATGTAAATCCTTTTGTAGTTTAACATTCGTAAAATTGTTGACAGTACACAGATGTGTACACAACATTTTTGCTTTTATTACTTTTATTACTTTAGAACTGTTTACTTGGTTGTGCCATTTCAGCTGTTTTTTTAAGTGTATTTTTGTGCATATATTTTACTTTTTTTAAGTGCAGGATCATACATAACCTCTCCCCAAGGATCAGTAACATCTTATCTGATCTGTAATTTTCTTTTTAAATCAGATTATGAGGAAAAAGGAACCAGTCACAGAAAAAGACACGTACTTCCCATTTACTGATTATCAGAAAAATAAGTGACGCGTTACCATATATGCAAGGTGCGATATTGATACCTCCATTGAAAAGGGTGACTACTGTATGAGAGAGAATCTGATAAGACGCCGTGGTGTCACTGTGTCGCTGTGGAGTAACCTCTGGGGAACCAGCGGTGTGATGGACATTCACAGAAAGTCCAACCCTGAAACCACTTTATCGCCCTTTTTGTCTTCTGGTACAAACAGCCCTCACAGCTGATTATGTGTCTTCATAGTTTACAACTATGGTATAATCTTCTCACCTATCAAAACAAAAGGCCTCAACAGATACACAAACACACACACTGACACACACCTCATCAAGGCCAGTTTGACAGCTCCTTCACAATGCACCATGGAGCTGTGTTGGCATGGGCCAGCTTGAGGGATGGGCCGCAGCGAGGTTTATGACTGTGCTGACGTCAATGACATAATTCAAATACTTAACCAGGCTGCACGCTTCCAGCCCTGCAGATCCTCTCCTCTGGCTGCGAGCCTGGAAAACCTGACATGGATTGCTGCTGCGGAGCAGAGTAGCTGTTGCAGACAGGAGTGGAGCGGACTGGCCAGACTGAAAATGACCGCTCAAATTTGTTCTGGGCGTCAGTCTGGCCTGCTGTCTGTCTCCGTGTCCATTCACTCGTCTGGTTATTTGTATTTTAAATGTGAGCGAATAGACTTCCTCATATTTTGAAAGACGCAATGAAAAAAAACTGTCTCACACACAAACACTCTGTGCTTGAATAAATAAATAAAAAACTTCAACAATGCTACCACAATGTTGTCAGACAGCATATCGTTAAACATTTGCATTGGATCCAGTATTGATCCAAGTGTTAAAGTATCTTTACAACTAGACAAAATCGTCAAAGCTAATTTAACTTATATACTTTAATTACAGCAGGTTTGGTCGCAACTGAACTGAAATTAGACTTCAGACACCATCGCTTCACTTTGTCCTTGCAGCTGGCATCTGTATTTTATGATACACTTCTGTGTGTGCACACTCACACTTACACAGTACAACGACTGACTAGACTGCAACACTCCTAGACTGATTTAAAACTGATTACTCCTTGTTATTTGTCATCAGAGTGCATATTACCGGTAATTGACACATGCTTTTCTCTGTCTTTATGCTGTTGGAATATCCTTTTAGTCCTTCATTATTTCTCTTTCAGAACATGTTTACAAAATGAGACAATAGATGAATGAGTAACGCTTATTGTGCAGGGCCCCACACCCTGGCCTGTTTACGCACAAAGTCACATGTTTTAAAGGCAGAGAATGTGTATGTATGAATACAGCTGTCTGACACACTGAGTTCATTTTGCACAGTTTGAACTGTATCAGATTCACAGGAAGCGGCTCGCTGAGCAGCTGACACATGCATCCCATGAAGAAAGACAAGCAGGGTGAAAATAAATAAGAGGAAAAATAATTCATTGATAAAAAATAACCTAATAAAAACATCATAGCAAGTGTATGATGATTTAACCCCTAGGCACAATGTCTCTGTCAGGGCAGTTGCTGCTCCTAATAACATACTGTGCATAGTACATCCTATGAATTTGAAAGGGATCCACAGTGCAATAAATCCTACAGCAATAGATGTAGATATTGTTTAGAGGAACAGCTGAACATTTTGTGAAATATACTTGCCGAGAGTTAAATGAGAAGGTCGATACTCCGCTCGAAACTGTCCGTTAAAAAAAAGAAGTCGACAGCTGGCAGCCATTTAGCTTAGCTTAGCATAAAGACTGGAAACAAGGGGAAACAGCTAGCCTGGCTCTGCCCAAGTGTAACCGAATCTGTCAACCTGAACTTCTTGAAAACAAAATCCAACAAAAACCAAAGTGCAATCCCAAAAATGTATATTTTTATGGGGGTTATTTACCTGACTTGACCTAGAAATAGTCCGGCACAGAAACAAAACAAACAGCCATAACAAAAACATCAACTTCTCATTTTTAATCTTCTGCTTATGTACAAATTAAACATATGAGATATAATGTGAAAAAAGGAGATTTTTGTTACCTTTGGACAAAGCCAGACTAGCTAGCTCCTTTTTCTCTATTTTCATATGGTGAGTCAAACTGACAGGATAAATAAACCGGCCTTATCTGGCCCCCACGCTCTACTTTGGATAGCGATGCATTAAACATTCATTTCTGGCCATTGTGTAAACAATAATTTGTAAAGGCCAGTCAAGGGGAACTTTCACTATGAGAACATGATGAGGTTTTACATCCCGCCTCTTGGTCAAATGACTAACCAAGTCCCCTAGAGTCCCAACCATCTGCGACAATATTCAGCTAGCAATAACGGTCACAGATTATTTACCAGCGCTTGACGGTTAAGGACGTCATAATCAAGCATTTTCTTCAAAAGTGCTATTTATCAGTGGTAATATAAAGCAAAGCCTATAATCTGAATCAGTCAGGGAAGAGTGAGCCCTTTGTTGCCCGCCTGGCTCACGGGACTGTGTGTGATGGGGCCAAGATGGTTTGTGAAGCGTAAACTGCAAACTCACATGGGAGAAACTACAATCCCCTCACGTTACTGGAGTAAGATGTTTAATAGTGTAAACAGTCTGTGCTGACGCATTTGCAGCTGAGCTGATTTTTTCTTTTTTTTATACCCCCCCCTCTGCTTCTTGTGTACTTTTACCCAGTGACTGCAGTCACGTTCCTGCTCTTTTTGTTTATTTCATCCAGTTTGACCTTTTTTTTTTTCTGCGTCTCCCCGATTGCATCTGATTAAAAAAAGGTTCAGAAACTGTGACGTCTCTGTCTGACCTTTGGTGTGTTTTCTTTCTTCCCCGTCTCACTCCCTGCAACGATCTGGTAAATCTCTCACTCTTTCTTGAACCCTCTCTACGTCTGTGTCCAACCTCACGGTCCTCCTACAGGATTTCACACTGCTCTCTCTTAATTTCTTATGTGTTTTATTCTATGTCAGTGTGTCCCTCTCAAATCCCTTTATAGCGGTATTAAAAGCGCTCATACTCAGCTATCCCCGCTGAGCTCATGCCCAGAAAGACGCAGGTACCGTATCTTTTCCACCATTGGGGATAATATTGCCTCACTGAGAACACAGACGCAAAACAGGAAAAATCTGTTCTCCTTTTCCGGTTGAAGAGTTGACGAAAACGAGACAGAAAGCAGCACAAAGGAGGATATGAGGGCATCTTTTTTTCTGTGATATTGTTAATTGTTATAGTCCTCCTGAACAATCTGAACAATCACCATTACATAGTAGCAGGTGTAAACTGCATGTTCTTTCTATGCTTGGAAAAAGTTGATGACGGTGATGTTCATCTGTTGGGACTGGAGTTAAAAGCTGTGTAATGTGTCAAAGAGATTTCAAACAAATTCAAACAGACATTTGTTTTTCTCACTTTTTATCTTCCCCATGCGTCACGATGGAAGGCAATAACGGGATGGTTTCACTCAACAGCGATTGCTTGGTTAAGGTCAAGGTTTGTGAGAAGTGTGGAGGAGGAAGGACAATAGGAGACTCACACTTGTCTTGTATTTTTTCCTGCTGCGGGACGCTCCCAGCAGCTCATTTTGCTGATAGGAAGTGGAGGGCACCCGCGTGCAGGCTGTGCTGACGTCAGTCGGGCTTGAAGAACCAGTGCAGCAGGAACTAATATCCCCACCTCCCTCCTCCCCTTCTTTCACTTGTCCTCTCCCTCCTTCACATCTACCTGATCTGGATCCACACCATTAAATATCTTTCTGCCGTTCTCACCCTCTTCCTTTCCGTGCCGACTGGTTGTAACATCAAAACGTGGGAATTTTTGTGTTGTTATCAAATCACAGTTTCCTGTATCAGTAACTCAAAAGATTTGTTTCTCTGTGCATGTGTGAAAAGGCTTAAAGATGACACGGTGTAAGCATCTGTTACAATGCTCACATGGACATTTTCATACAGACACTGATTAGGTATTTCCATGCAAACGCTCACCTTGAGTTTGCACTGTATTTGCAAAGCCACACTCTATTTTATTGTCTGCACCGATATGAGACACAACACACTATCTTTTTATGCATGAAACTGCACCCATTGGGATTAACACACTGGTGAATACCGACTAGGGTATATTTATGTTTGGATCATTATCTTTCATTCATTATTTATGTCTCTCAAATCTTTAGCAGGGCATTGTCCTCCACCAGCAGTTACTTCTGACATTTGCCTTCTTAGGACTTGCACAACTTCCAGAGTAAAAAGAACTGAACTGCATTGCATTGCATTGCATTGCATGCATGTTACAGTTTTCCACATTTCCTAGAATCATAACCTCGGATGAGGGTGAACCTAAACTCCCCTTATCATGCACTGAGAGGTTGGTGACGGTACTCACCTGACAGGCAGACTTTGGTCACAGAAGGCTGATTTGCAGCAGGAGACCTCCTGCAACCAAAGAGAAAAAGTCAAAAACTATTAAAACCAAAAGCCGTGATGTGTAAGAAATGGTTGCATCTTTTTTTTCCTATAGTGTGATTTGGTTTCAGCAGTAGTCATTATTGCCACAGCACAAACACTGAAAACCGGGCCCTGTCACTTCTTTAAACTGGTCACAGGTCAGATTTTCTACTGTGCGACACCGTCATGTCTAATCCGTTTTTTTGGCTCACACTGACCCCTCTCTCTGAGGTCGTATTGACTATGTGTCCACCTCTGGCCGACCTGATGCAAGTGCAGCTTTAGTGCTGACCCAGTTCAGTGATCAGAGGCAGCTTTCATGCACTCAAATGGGATGAGGTCACCTCCTCTTCTACCAAACATAAAGTAAAAATGTCACGGGGTCCAGTTTAGGGTTCCAGTGGTGCTGCTGCAAACCAGCTTTAACATTAAAAATACAAGGCTCTCTGGGTGTTTGAAGTTTAATGTGAGCGGCTCCTTCATGAGGCCACAGCACTAGAAATATCTTTGGTGCACTGGCGCCCCCAAGTGAGGGATGTAGGCATCTTGAATTGTGGCATCTAAATATCCTGACACCTTAAATCCACATGTAGATTTCCAACAAAACATGTTTTTTTTTTTTTTTGTTTGCCAAAAACTTCTATCAGCACACAAATGAAAATCACGATCATTATACAGAAAGCTTCACTGCAGCATGTAGGCACTCTCACAAAACACAAGCAGATACTGTAACACATTTATGAGATGACTTACTTATTGGATGCACATTGTACATTTGTCAAGGTGGTGAAGTTGTTCCTGACAGTGCGAAGGCTTGCAAGAACCTAACAACAATAAGAAGAAGAGAAAAATGAGAGGAGGAAGTCACATGTGGCAAAGGTAGGGTTCAAATATGAAGAATAATTTCATTTAAAAAAAAACAGACAAAAACGTTTAAGATACATAGAAATATGCAAATTTCAATTTGACACTTGCAGGAGGGTCGAGAGAATATACACAGTGATAATGTTAAATGTTCGGTGACATAATATTCATAGTATTGTGATAATGCAATGGCTGCTCCAAAGATGCACAAGAGTTTTCTGCATTTCTAAGTTTTTAAGAAGTCTCTTAAAGGGTTGGTGTATGGTGCAGCTGATTATGCAGACTCACTGACTAAGTGTTTCATCTGAATCATTTACAATAATTCATTAGTGGTGAATTAAGTCTGTGCAGCTGCCTCTCAATGATAAATGGTGCTTGTTGTCCCCCCCCCCCCAATCAACACAAATTAATCCTTAACCTTTAGGAATGATCTGCATTAGTTTAAATTCGGCAAATTCAATGTGTTTATCGGAGAGCAATCTCAAAGACTGCACCTCGTGATCAGCAGTAATGAGCATCTAAGTTTCAAATAGAAAATATTATCACGTGACATTATGATTGTTTGGGATTAACTTCAATCATTAAATCGAACAGAGTAAACAGGGATAATTGAATTAAAGTTTGGGATAATGAGTCTAAAATGACATTTCCATTGATGAGCAGACTTTGCAAGTCTAGTACAGGCCACCAGGGGGCAGACAAGTTCATCATGGCTGAGTGAGAGAGGTACTTTCAGGATCCATGATCCAGAAAGCTTCACGTCTAAAAGCCACTGGCGAAATTGTGTTTCTCAAAAATATATTTAGGATGATTTTGATGTTTGCTGAAGCAGATTTATTGACTTGTAACAAGCTCTTACCTGGGCAAATGGAGTCACAATCAAGTCCTCTCCATGCCTGAAATGGGATGTGATGAAAGCAAAGACAGAGTTACATACAAACACACACACAGTTGATCGTAGTGAAGTTGATATTTCAGAGGGCTGTGATGTAAACAACTCACAGTTCTCCAACAATGGAAGAGTTTCGAGACAAGGACTTTGGGGACAGTTCGTAGTCGCTGTCAGAGCGGTACAGGAAGGACTCTCGGCGCTGGCCATGGCTCGCCAAGTTGGGGTGTAGAACCAGACCCGGGGACGCCTGCAGGTCTGAAGGACTGCAGCACGTCGGGCCATTCTCCACTTCAAAGCTAGAAGCAGAGAGACGAACAACAGTAATCAGTACAAAAGAGAGAAAAGGGGATGAGACTCTGCAGCTGAAAAGGTATTTAGAGAATACTTACTATCATCAAATGAAATCTGTAAAAGTCTGTGGATGATACCTAAATCAACTTCTTGCACTGCAGGAGTTCAGAAATCTAGTGATTTCACCATGTCTGTGTTTGATCAAACATCAGTCTAATCACTTTCAAATCATCATCTTTATTTACAACGGCCTTTCGCTAAGCCGCCACTAAGTACTGACTTAGTGCAACATGCCAGAGAAGATGTAGTTGCATATACCCTGAAATGATCACTCAGCCATCCATCCATGGCCTAAAAACAAAACTATTGTGCTCATTAAATAAGTAGACATTGCTGGTCAGTGGAAGGGGGGGGGGGGCTTTATTGGAAACTTCAGATCTGGTCTGTCTCACTGGAACATGTCCATGACAGCTCCATTTATCCCTATCCAATAGAGAGAAAGCAGCACACACACACACACACAGAGAGGGAGATTAGCTTCATGTGGTGGGACCACATGAAGCTATGGTGGGATGAAGGGCAAACTGTAGTGTTTATTTTTACACCCAACCATACTCAGTAGTCTTTGATACATGTACACATGATCTACTGTGTATAATAGTGTTTGTAATGACCTGCCCGGGGACTGCAGAGCACAGTAGCTAACAGCTAAATCTGAAACCAGCATCTCCTCAGTGCTTAATATTTTTGTACATTGTCCTTGACAAATAAATCTAATAAAGATGAAATGATAATAAAAAAAATAAAAAAAAGAACAGTTTAATTGAAGACTGAGATATTTAGCAATGGTTGTCCATAGACTTTTATATTAATACATAGAGTGCAATATAAAAATAACAATTTACAGAAAAGACAAAGGACGGACACTAAAAGCATTTATAACATATATGGAGGAAGAGCAAAACAACAAGCTGCAGATTTGATACACAATGTGTAAATTTTATCTGTAACATTACCTAAACATCTACAGTCCTTTCAAGCGGCACGTTTTCTGATACCACAGCGAAGCCACCACAGATGCTCATATGGATATAATCTTTGTCACCGTGGAGTGGGAGCAGGAGGAAAGGACAAGCTATTATGTAATCAGATGATCAAGTCAGATAGAGCGGAGTTCAGAGGTGAAAGGTCAAGGTATCAGTAGCTTACAGGAACGACAGATGGCGAAACCATAAATAAAAAAAATAAATAAATAAATAAAAAACTTTTACTAAAAGTTTAGCTTGTATAATATATACTCACAGGTTTATCGAAAATAAATTAGCATTTTATATTTTAGTCCGATTCTAGCACTCAACCACCTCCTCTCTAATCTGTCTTGTAATGGACTGACTGACCCAAAGACCACTTCCCTATTTGCCCCACATTCATGCCCGCCTCTAATTTCTGATACATTTGGGATTAATTTGGCACATATCCCGCTGAGACACTCTCCGTCCCACACCTCTGCCAGAGGAGCTCAGCTTAATGGGAAATGAGCAAAGTCTGTTTACACACATGCTGAACGATGAACGTCATCCGTGTAGTGTTTTGCGTCATCCAAATCTCAACTTCACACAACGTTAACAACATGCTTTACCAACAGCAATCTAATCTTTTAATCTGATTGAGTCAGAAAACCATACTATGTTGATGACCCATCATTTCGGTGGATCTTGATAAACTGTAAACTCACAGCGACAGTCTGCCACAGTGGATGAAGGCTGCACATTCAACTCTTCGGGTAATGTAGAGTATAGTTATAGTTTCATGTCATAATCTACCGTTGAAACAGTCGTTCTAAAACATAGAAATGTAGAGAATAAGAGAAAGAAGGGCTCAAAATACCAAAACAGAGTCTATATTCAAAATGTCTGTAAAAGGAACATATTTTTTTTAAATGAGAAAAAGACATACTACAAAGAAGATCAATAAAAAGTCACCTGGGAGCCGAGAGGTGTGCTCTACTGATCACCTCCTCGCTGAAGTCAAAGTACCCAGCTCTGCACCTAGGGGACCTCCGTAACATTCTTCCTTCCCGTCCGCCTCCTCTCTTATCATCGGGCAACAAAAAACACTGATGCTGTGGCTGCTCACTCATACACTTGCACACACACACACATACACACACACACACTGACAGACCCTCTTTCTGTCCAGTAAGAGGCCACGTGCTGGACTAACGTAGGCTTGGCAGATGCTAACAGGCAGATCTGGGCTGGAACACAGCGAGCAGACTCACAGTGGCTCTGTTAATCTGACCGCCTGCCCCCTTTCCCTCTATATTAAACCACTGCAGATTAATCAGGGCGTTCATCATCCGACCCGCCCTTCAATTGGCCACCTACGACGCTCCATAAAAGCATATGCATTATAGTGTACAGTGAAAAGGAGGGTATTAAAGTAGAAAATCCAGATTTTCATTCATCAACTCAGAAACTCTCACTAATGTGCATGTGACGCAGTGTAGATATTTCACAGGAGGAAAAAAAAAAAGTATCTGTGTTAACACAAAGTAACGGCGAGTCCCTTTCACCTGGACTACAGCATAACATGATCAGGAACGCATGAGAATACAGTTAGGTTATAGGTCACTCCTGCTATAAAAAAAAAAAAAAAAAGTATTTTAGGTAGGAGAGCAGGAGCGAAATGGCCCGAGGAGGAACTGTTAGTAGGGTAGAAGTGTGTGGGACAAAGTGTCACTGAGTGATATACAGTCCAACATGATCAGTTACAGCATCCAGTTTAAGAATAGAAAAGCCTGGCTGTTAACGCGACGGGACACTCATTCTTTGTCAGAGTGCTATCCTTACAACATGACCTAAAATAACATTCATGTTCTAGTTCTGGCAGAAAACAGCATATTAATGATCAAAATTCACTGTTAATTCAACAGTTTGTCAGTGTTTATATACTGCACTTCCAAATCAGTAGAGTTGGTTTACATTAAAGCTATCTGAATAGTGCCACTGGGTGACATTTGGAGGACTGAGAAGAACCAGAGCCTCCCATTATTATCTGAGTTAAAACAGGAAGAAAGAAACAAATTACCCGTCTTAAAAGAAAAAAGAAAGAAAAAAAGAAAAAAAAAGCAGGACTCCAGCAGTACATTCAGAATCCAGAGAATAAAATAATACCTGAAAACTCAACTAAATAATCTTGAGCAGTGGTGAGTATTTATTCATGCCGGGGTCAGAGGAGCACAGTTCATTCCAGGAGGAAAAACACTTGGCACTCTGCTCTGCTCAGCTTGTACTTTTCAGTGTTTCAACAATATAAACAGACTTTGGGATGAAATAAGGTCGTCACCTTTTGCACATTCCAACAAATAAAGAAAAGCAGCACATGATTTGTACAAGGTTTATTCAATAAACTCTTCTCAATTTTTAATATTCCCAACTATTGTAATTCTACTACAGCTCCTTCTGTCTATACGGCAACATGTTCATATATAGTATCTGTAGACATCCTTATATCGTACAGATCCTAAAGCACTTTGAGACGAATGTGTGAGTTTGGGCTCTATACGTGATCGCCAAAAAACCTCGACTGGACTGAACTCAAGAAATGCAGGAAACTGTGACGAACTGCCGTCATCAGACTCTGCAAGTTATTGTCAGGGTGTTTTTAAATACCAATCAATCTCTGATAAAAACCTCGGTGATCCAACACACACTGGAGTAGCGACATTTCCGGCAACTTGAAATAAACTACTGCTAAATAAGGGGTCCGTGTGAGTCAATAACTACATGTTGAATCACCAGGCACCTACTGTAGCTCTTCAAGCAATCAATAAATAAACTGAGTTGACAAACAGAGACAAACAGTGCGGAAACGGCTACTTGAGTTACGTTTCTTTTACTGTCTTTGACGCAGCCTCTTTCTCTCACACATAACAAACATGCCAACCAAATCCTTACCAGGTGTTTGCTACAGTGAAGCGTCTGTATCGACGGAGATGCCTGTTCACGACCTGCTTGCGAAAGCATCTCGGTGAGCTGTGTGGAGAGAGTTTCTGGCCAGGATCAACGGCAACAACACTGCAAGAGTCAGACTGGTCCAACCCGAGCTCCCTGTTCTCTCCCCTGTCTTCCATTAGCGTCTCTGCTTTACGACCAGGTACAGAGTGATGGCACTTTCCTGGCATTTAAAAGCTGCTGCCTTCCCAAGAAACAGCTGCAATCACACTGTCTAGAAAACTATCACGGCTTTTCTAACCCGTTTTATAATAATACAGAATCAGAGCTTATCATGTTGTAATCAGGTTTCAAAGAGCAACACTGAGGACAAGACAAATATTTGCTCATAATACGACTGATTAATTTGATTGGTACATGTCTTTCCAACATCCTCCCTGCAAATCCAAATCAACACCCTCAACAAGCTGATTGGCTAGTCAGCAACAGCTGGAAAATAACACACCGAGAGTTATGGAGCGTCCGCAGTGTCACGCAATAAACGGAGCAAAAGTTTTCCAGCTCACGAACTTTCATCCAGATAAATGCAAGACAGGCTTTTAAAAAGCAGTAGAGCAGAGGATGAGTGTGACAGAGATGAAAGCAACAGATGAGAGTCAGTGTACAGTATGTCTCTGAAGCCCACAATCATGTGTGGTTTAGTGGGTTCAAAGAAAAAACTTGCAATTTGCAATTCAATAACGTAGAGTGGTAACCATCATAAAAAAAAAATGAAAAAATAAATCTGATGCATGTTTCCTAAATTAATGCTGCCATGGAACAGCAGCCTTCTGTAGTCTACCTCAAAAAGTAGACACAACAATAACAACACGCTCAGTTAAATGACTGCCAAATGATTTTGTACCATCTGATGCTTTGGAGAGGTTTTCCTCCTGGGCGCAGAGATATATTTATTACTGTAAGAACTGACAAAAACTACGAAGAAAACAACGGCGTTGAAAACACTGTTGTGAACTGAAATAAAAATATCATATAATATAATACAAAAAAGTCTTTGCCAACTTTCCTGCTAATTTGCAAATCTAATGTCAAAACTCGCTGGGAGCACACACCAGCCTCCCACTGTTACCGACACACAAATTCTGCTCCTACAGCGACACGAGACTAAAAACAAAGTAAAAAATTAAAAATAGTTCTCAAAAAAAAAAAAAACTAAGAAGAAAAGCTGAGAACTGCGTGAAAAATTAAAAGTCTCATTCTCCTTACGCAACAAACATGCACAACCACCACAGCGAACAATATGTTGCCATTACTTTTCTGTGGTAAAACCGCACTGTCGTGTCACTGCGATGATTTTGAGGCGCCTCACCTGTCGGGGTCGGCCTGTGTGATGTCGATGCGAGGCAGGGAGACGATGGGCAGGCTTGTGGGTCTGGCCCGGGTCACTGGATCTTCTTCAGGTGTGAGCGGCCTGCCCCTGTCCCTTTCCTTTTCTGCCTGTCGCCATGACAACGGAGGCAGCTGCAGGTTGCCAGAAAACCGCCTGTGGACTTTGCACACCTCTACCCCGAGGCTGCTGGCTGTGGAAAATTGTCCCACAGGAGGCTCTTTATTCTCCTGAAGGTAAAAGAAAAAACAAAACTGACAATGAGTAACTGGGTTATACTGGCTCATAATATTTCTTCTTCCAGACTGGTGATGAATAAACATGGAGAAAATGAACGTATTAGGCTTTTATCTTCTTAAAAAAAAGGGGAATTAATTGTTAGGGCGTTAAAGATTGCAATGACAGTATCACAAAACTAAATATTCTTAGGACATATAAGGAAACTGTTTTCCAAAATAGAATCAAAAGAAAGAAAGAAAGAGATTTAAGGGACAGACATAAACAAGCCTCTTTTAGGGAGGGTTAAAGAAATACAAATGTTTAAACACTAACTAAACAATCTGCCTGCCCTGCACATGCACACATCTCTGATTTAACGAAGCGTCGTACACTATACTGTCTGTATTTACGTTTTTATTGTCCTCATTAAACAAACAGAAATTAACTGTTTCACATCAAAGCCCATTTCAAGTCCCTGGACACCTGAGCTGCCAATTGACATTTTTATGAAGCTGTTCTGAATATAAATTGTGTGTTTAATGTGTCTGGCTGAGTGTAAAGGTTCCACCGAGGAGCCCTGGGTGCTTCACTCTAATGACTGGTTGTAAACAAGCCAGGCCACTGAGGAAACGGAGGCGAACTGCCAGAACCCATTCTGCATACATCACCCTCCACTTTACATTCGCCGTGTGCAAGTGTAAATGAAACACGCCGACAGCTTTCAGATGAACAAGGGAGATATTACAGAGGCACGGTGGGAAATGGAGGAATTCCTAGAACACAGCTGTGGCAAACAAGAAGCGATTGGTCTCTTTTATGTGTGTGTGTGTGACACAGGAGGCTAGATGGAAAAGGATGAGTGTGAAAGAAAGTGATTGACAGTGAGTGAGAGTGTGAAGAGGAGAAAGAGTGAAGCAGTCTGACCTCACTGTCATCATCAGGGCTGACAGCTCACCACAATCTGACACAATCACGGCTGCACATGATCAACTGCCAACTCTCTCTCGATTTACAGTATTTCCTTAAATGCAGTTACAAGTTGTAAAGAAGTAAAATAAAAATCATCCAGTAACATTTTTTTTTTTTTTTTTTTTTTTTTTTAAACAGAAACACACAACCTATACAACAGTGTTGTCAGAACTGTGACAACATGGGGACATTTTGCAGTTGAAAACGTGGCAGTGATCTCTAGTGGACAAGTTATGTAGTGATCACAATGCGTCTATATTACCTCAAACCTAGCTTGCCAATGTACATATTGATACTGATATATCTGCAACAAGCTCAAATCAGATGACACATCAGTCAGGTTGATTTATTGTTCTGGCTCTAGAAGATACTAGAGCTGCAACTAGTAATTATTTCCATCTACTTGTTACTTTCTCAATTTATCGCTTAGGCATTTTGCATTTTTCATGGACCAAATGATTCTCACTACAGTCTTATTTATACCCGTCAGAATTTGTGTTTGCAGAGCTGCTCATGCAGAACAAATACTACATGAATATAAAGTAAAAGAGGTGCTAAAATCTAAAAAAACCATCCATGGTGGTAAAAGCATATTATTCAAATATTAGCATAATGTTATCCATTGCGCCAAAGTGATATGAATGTGATTACACTCAGTGGTTGTTTCCCAGAGGGATTTAATTTATTAGAGACAAAAAAAAACAACAAAAATAAAAAACAGTAAATCCTCACATTTGAGAAGTTGAACCTGAGAATTTTAAAATATTTGAAGCAGATTCATTTTAAATGTGAATCATGAATGTTAACGAATAGGAGAATCGTGACTAGTATCATTTACCTAAGCTTGGTAAGAAGTCAAAAGGATCACTGTGAGAACACATGCTCATGTATCTTGTCCAGGTGAAGTGTCCAAAAGACTGAATTATATCTGCCAGGCGGCTGCCAACACCGTCATCGGCTCCCATTACTTTTTTTTTTTTTTTTTCTCGTTATTGCACCAAAGAAAAGTACGACAATTCAAGTCCAAATTGGCTGTTTGTCATGGACAGAGTGCTTCTCTCTGAAGTTAGAAAATGTTGTGGGTTCTGTTAGAGATGAAAGGTCAACAGGAAAAACGTTAAAATTCAAGTTAATGAGTGAGTGAAGTGAGACAGAGTGGTGTCATATGAGGTGGAGAGCTAATGATCTGAGACAGACAGAGAGAAGAAGACAACAGACAACATCCCACATCCTCTTTCCAGTGAAAGTGAAAGACGCTAACGGAAGAGAGCAAAGAATGACATGAGTAAACTGCAAAGAAGAGGGGACTACAAAAGTGTCTGAGTGAGAGAGGAGAGGAAAGAGTGAACGGAAGAAACCACAGACAGGAGTCTGACTTCCTATCTGATAGTCGGTAAACACAGCTCTGCTGACTCGCCTGCTCCTTCTAGGAAACACACTTTGCCTGATTTATTGTGCCTGTCTTTCTAAGGACACACTCTTCCTGTCTCAAAGAAATGGGTGAAAATTAAATCTGGCAAAACACAACTCCGTTCCAACGACTCTGACAAGTCTGTTGTCAATATGTCGCACTAGCCACTGCTACGACGCTGCCAAATTAATTATCAATTCTGTACTGATAGCACCTCTGACATCTGGACATGTAATTCTATCTCTTCATTGATCTCTTGTCCGTGATCCAAATGGCATTAGGAAGAGGAAATAAGTGCTGATTTACTTTGAGTGTACACTTGTATAAACCCAGGAATAGGACAAGGATGTCGATAATTTTAGAATTCAAAACATCGGTAAATTTAGAAACCTGGGATTTGTCATGTGCGCCGGAATGTGGTCATAAAAGGACAGGAACTGTGATGAAAGGTAAAACAATGAGTCTCAAACGGAGGTAGCGTAGCTCCAGTGTCAAACAGAGGTGGAGTGGGTGTTTTTCGATGAAGATGAAAGGCCTTTCTTGGCCGCAGAGCCTAAACAACTCCAGTGTTCTCTGGGATACCTCCAAAGAGCCTTTTTGAAGAAGGTAATACAAATGAGACGGCTTTAGAAGAGAAGCTCTAACAGCATGGTTTCATGTGGTGCCTGAATTATTGAATCTAGGAGCCAAAAGGAAAAAAAAAAAAAAAAAGTTTTAATTATTAAGTGTCTATAGAATCTGAATCAAAGATGGGAGATGGATGCTCGAGGGTGTTGAGTGGAGAAGCACAGCAGAACTGCATTTATCTTTTTGTCAAATTAATTAATTAATCTCTATAAAAGGTTGGAATTAACACCAGGGATAATGATGGAAATGAACCCAGGATTTAATCGTTCGATCACTGAGTCTAATATATTTTTCTATAAGTATGTGAGATTATTATCAATAGACTAAAATAAATGATGCTCACATGCATCTTTGGCTTTGGGAAAAACTACAGCAGCTATTGATCACTGCATGCATGGAGGCTGTTGAACAGTATTATTAGTGTCTATTACAGCACACTGAAATACAAAAACCGGTTAAACATTAAAGAAGCTTCCACAAACATCCCAGCTAGCAGAAAATAGTATTTTAGATGCTATTAATTGAAGGTTTTCATTCCAAAATGAGATGCCCACTTTTGAAAAATGTATTTGCTATTAACAAAAATCACTGCAGGCATGAAAGTAGAAAATCACTGTTAAGCACTGCTGACATTAATGGCTATTAAAGTCTATTAAACTGGACTGAATTCTCACTCATAAAAAGTGAGAAATGACCTTTGTTGGAAAAGTTTTATAATATGTTTACATTATGTGATGATGTGAGGCCAGTCACAGCAGGAACATTTTGGCATCCAGGATGTAACTTGGCCTCTGAGCTCCGGTTGGACAATGTCAAAGTAAATGATCTGGTCTGCCTGCCCAGTCATAAACACCGGTGGCATAGAGGAGAAACAGATGGGCCTCTCCGTCAGATCTGTATCCTTCCTCCTCTTGTCCATGTTTCCATTCACTCTAGAGTCTAAATTACTCCTGGTGTGAACACCTTCCCCCTCCCTCTTCCCGCTCTGCCTGCTAAACTCTGCATCAGTCTTCAACTCTCTGTCTCCATCATCCGAACTCTCTCTAGCAAACACACACACACACAACACATTGTCCTTCTCCCCCTGTCTGTGTTCCAACAGACACATCATCTCCCTCTCTGCAGTGTGTCCTGCCGGATAGCGGTCTGTTGTGTACAGTACAGTCATCTGTTTATGAGTCACCGACAACCGCACAGACATGCTGCACTCGCTGCCTCACTGTATTCTCATTGCATCTTGGTTGGGGAGGAAACAGGAGGGAAGGCAAACGTTACAAAATTTACAGTTAACTGTGCAAACTGCAGAATTCAGGCTGTAAACTTTAGAGGCGAGATGCAGAATTTCAGAGGCAGAGAAATCATGAGTGGCCGTGTAATGTATGCATGGATGGGTACATGGTTGCACAGATGGAGGGTTGGAAAAATCAATACTTACATCGTCTGGTGTAACCCCATGTGCGCTCCTGCTTTTCTTCATCCTGAGGGATGCTCAGCCAGACTCTCTCTCTCTCTCTCTCTCTCTCCCCCCCTCTCTCTCTCGCTCTCTCTCTCTCTCTGTGTCTCAGATCTGATCCTCCCTCTGAAAAGGCAGCTCTTTCCTGCTTCTCCTGCTCTGGGCAGCCTCACCAGTACGCCTGCACATGGGAAACAGAGAGGAGGAGGCAGGGAAGGGAAGGCAATGATAAAGTAACCAGTCCCAAAAGTTATTCTGCCTCCCTCACACTAAACATCACGTCTGCAGGTGTTGTTTGACTTGCGTTATCGTCCTGACTTGACGATGCAGTTCTGAATGCAGTAATTTGACAAGTCTACACTGCGCTGCATTACGCACTGAATTACACAACTTAAACAAAAAAGCAGACATTACATGAACTGTGGGGATTACCTATCTCAGCAGTTACAAGTTTGTACAAGCAGACATTCATATTGTATTGGAATGAACTCAAACAAAAGTAAAAAACACAGTAAAAAGCACCAATACCAAAAAAATCCTTTTTTTGGATACTTTAAGAAACGTTTCTAGCCATGCTAGCGGCATGGCAGCATGACTGTGGGGATGGCAATATTGGTTTATCGTAAACACCTCGGTCCAGACTTAAATATCTCAACAGGTATCGATTGAAATGAAACTTTATGTAACTTTGTGTTTCCCTGATTTTTCCCTTGGCGCCATTATGAGTCTGACATTTTCTGGTTTAATGTGAGATATATAATCTATTGGATGGATTGATACTCGTGTCCCCCACAGAAATGAACTGTAGTGACCATTAGCACCACTATTAGGTCAAAGTTTGTATTTGTCCAATATTTTGGTTTATGACCAAATCCCTGCAAAACCAATGACATTCCCATCAGCTGCAATTTGTGTTTAGTGCAAATGAGCAAATGTTCAAATGCTAACACACTAAAATAAGATGGTGATCATGGTAAACATTACATCTGTTAAACATCAGCACGTTAGCACCGTCATTGTGAGCTGTTTCCACATAGAGTTTAACAGAGCTTAAGCACGGCTGTAGACTATGTCTGCCCCTTTTGCCATTTAACAAATAAATTAAACTTCTTAAATGTGTCTAAATACCAGATTCTGAACTAAAGTTGCCTAAAAAGTCTAAAATTGGCCGTATTCTGATTTGAATCAAAAACCGGTAAAGACCAACAAAATAAATGTCAGCCCTCAGCACTTAATACACATGGTGATTAGTACATGAAAAGGTTAATGTTAGCCTCATGGGTAACAGTGATGTCGAGTGGGATTTGTAGTAAATCTGCTAAAATATGCCAAAAGAAAAACAATGCTCGTTTTAACCCTGGTATGCATCAGGTCTTAACATACACCCAGTTAGAACAATTCACGGTGAGAGGGAGTTGTGTGATAGTATGTGCCTGAAGGTCTTTTAGTCGGGTCTCCTCTGGCAGCCTGTTCTGAGTACACATGGGTGACTAATCTATGTGGCAGAAATGAATCAATATTTTCCATGTCACTCTTGATCCACCCTGTGTCAACCCTCCCACATTTCCCCCTCTTTGCCAGGCACTGTGTCCTTGTCAGTGTAGGACTACTGCTGAGGGAGGCTGTTGTTGCTGCTCTCCAGCTGCTGCCAAGTCAAGTGGCACGAGAAGAGAGTTTTTCATCTGCGCAAACAACCCAATCTTGTTTGTAGCTTTCAAAACAAACATCTATATGTGCGGCTTCCTCCTGTCCTCAGCGATTATTTCAAAAAAATAAAAATAAAATAAAAAAAATAATGACATGAGGCAGCAGATCACACAGCGATTCAGTGCTGTGAGTAGTGTTTCAGTGTTTCTGTGAGAAAACTCTTCAGCTGCTGGTTTAAATCTCAGCAGGAGGGAGAGGTTCTCAATAATGTATGAGGTCGCATAGATGTATTCGGTGGTTCATAAGAAACTATTCAAATTATTTATACTTCATGATACAGTTACAGTTAAATAAATAAATCAGATAAGTGTCAGTCCAAGTTGTTCTCAGTGTCATATATGTGCTCTAGTACCTGCCAGCTCTAAACTATACACATTTTCAGCATATGCGTTGACTGGATCAAATCATTTTCTATCGTAACATCCCCGCTAAAAGACAACACTAATGAGTCTGTGAGGCTGCACTAAGGCACAGCAGTGCTTTGAGATAAATTTTCACATGAATGTGCTGACATGCTAACAATGACAATGCTAACATGCTGATGTTTAGCAGTTAAAAAGGTTTATTATGTTCATCATCTTAGTTTAGAATATTAAGATTCTAGCACTTGTTAATTAGCACTAAATACAAATTGCACTTAAGACTGATGGGAATGACACTAGTTTTGCAGAAATTTGGTCATAAAAAACAAAGTAAAGAAATTCTGATCTGATGATGGCGTTAGATAAAAAAAAAATTGTCAGCATTGCTTTCCCTGAACCCACATCTCTAGAGTGGCTATAAACATTATGGTTAAGTTATTTTTCAAATTGATCAAGCGAAATAATCAAAACATTATAATGACAACTTGTTAGATCATTTAACGCTTCAGCTATGATCCTGTCAGAAAAGCCCCATTTCATAAATTTCACAAGAAAATTATTTTCTTTCCATCAGAAAATTGTTTTATTGTTCCAAATTGAATGTAAAAGAAAAAAAAACCCCTGGGGAACCTCAGGCTTTTTCAATCATTCTGTCACAGCATCCTTAAAAAGTTTTTCTCAAGTCCTGTGTCCTTCCATAAAAGATCAAGCTGGTATAAATTAAGGTTGGATGAATGGACCCCAGAGCCAAAAATTTCTTTACGGAACAAGCAGAGACGACAGACGGAAAGAGGTTGTGTCAAATCGTGTCATCAAGTCCAGCAATGATAAGTGTGATCCTATAATGGTGTTAAGACTATTAGCACAAATCATCAGAGGAAATGTTCAGAAAGGTCAGGACACTAAGAAGCCATTCCCTCTGTGCACACCATATCCAAAAGGCTCAATAAACGGCGACCGTGTAGCTGTGTTTTATTTTGTAACAAGCAGTTCGGGGAGTTGTTTGCCTCTAAGAGACCACTTACTGTGATTTCAGGTGGCATACAATATTTAATTGTTTGTTTCTGTGCTTCAAAAGTTAGTTTTCCAAAAGGTTGCGATATCTCCAAGGACTTGACTAGTGTGAGGAAAAAATTACTGTTCAGGGCAACTAAACACAGTTCAACAGTATTTGTATTTTACAGCCACAATGACTGATATGTTTGTTAACATTGCCAATGTATTAATCCATTCACGTCACTTGTGCCTTGAGAATATTTCTACTCAATGAGATCATTACACTGCTAGCTTGGATTTTAATTAATGTATGTGTGCATCTGGTTTGTACCTACTTTGTAGGGCTTTGGTTTTCATTATCTATTAATCTGTTTGTTTGAAAAGACATAGTAGTAATTACTGTTGAAGCTGTACTTGCATCCATGGAATAAAAAATCTTCTTATTAAGACTACTACGGGAAGAACGGGGTTACATAATTGTTTTCTTATGATGCTTGTTCCCAGCTATAATCACTTCAGTGTGAAAGGTCAGAGCTCTGTCAATACAAGGGAGGAATGAGCATATGAGAGTCTGAAGAGCATGTAAACCCAAGAGACCGCTCAGTTTAAAGAGGATCACAACACAACAGAGAGAAACTTCAAGTGACCTCTCATACTTGTAGCCCCAGCAATAGGCCATCCCCGTGGTAGCTGCCTGTACCTCTACAAATAATTGGTTGTTGATGTGAAGCGGGCAAAACAGATTGTAAGGTCATGAGACAGCACTCAAGATGCTGATTGTAAGAATTTTGAAGAGAACACCAGGGGATAGTGTGTGAGGCATATATCATCACTGCAACAGCGAAAATAACAAAAAGCAGACTGCTTCTTTTCTTTATGTACAACTCAAGGACATTTTGAAGGCCATGGATGGACTTCGCTTTAAGGCTATTATTTCTGCCATCAAACCTAAAAAAGTTTCGACATATGCATTAAGTATGTATGAGGACAGTGTGTTGCCTTTGGGCAAAGAGAAGAAAGAAAAGACTGCAGCAGATCAAGTGCATCATCTTCCTCAATACACAGCACCGTATGGTGGCGTTTGAGGTAGCACTGAAGCAATTTAATCTATTGTTGTTGATGGAGAGAAACTTAATTGGCATTAATTCATTATCATTTAAGTTATTTATTAAGCTAAAATGCATAAAATGTACTTGATGCAGCTTCTAAAATCTGAGGATTTTACATTTTATATCATTGTGAATTGTATAGTTTGAGCTTTGGACTGTTGGCCTGACAAAACCAGCTATTTAAAGACTCCACCTTGGGCCCTGGGAAATTCCTATCGGCATTATTTCGCTTTTTATGACATTTTATAAAACAAATAACTAATTGATCAAAAAAAAAAAAAAAAAACTGATCAGCAGACGAATCAATAATTAAAATAAGTGGTTAGTGTGGTTTGGCGGTTTTGTGTGGAGTTATTTGGGTCACAATCCAAAGACGTGCACATGAAGTGAACTGAAAACTCTGACTTGTGTGCAGGTGTGAATCTGAGTGTGAATGGGCTTGTGCATGTGACAGACGAGTGACCTGTTCAGATCCTTTTCCTGCCTGTATGCTGAAAGAGACATCAGCCCCCCCACTACCATCGCCAGTGGCCTTGAACAGGAATAAGCTGGAGTGAGAATGGATGGATGTTAATGCTTAATGCTCTGATGGCATGTACTGTAAAATGGGGAACTCAAAACGCTATCATAACCGATGTTTGCACATCTGTCACATATTTTACCTATGAGGTTAGCAAGGCTGCATTTCTGCCCATCTGACCAGTCAATCTACGTATGTCACACGGTGTCCACGCACAACGGAAAGCTGAAGCGGGTGAGTCAGTAGCTGTCATACACTGAAAATCACCCACACAAAAGTAGCTTTTGTGGCACCAAAACAAAAGAGCCTCAAGAAATAATGTTTAGAACTCCATTAATAATACATTCAATTACCCTGCAGTCCAACAATGCGAGCTTTCATAACCATCTGTGTGCCACAACCATGATGGATTGACTTTAGAGTGGTCACTCATTAACATCCAGAGAAATCTCATTTACTTTTACATGAAGCACCATTAACAGCAAAAAACAAAAAACATGCTAGGCAGTTATTAAGCCTGAACTTACCCAGCTTTGAACCATTCAGTGGAAGATGAATCAATATTCAACGTGAGGTTTCAAATATCACTTCATCAAACTGTGACTGCTAAATGGAGAAGTAAGCAGCTCTGGTCACAAGACACGACAGCTGTTGACAGCACAGCGGCAGGTCCTGTTTGACTGTTGGGCCCACCCACATTTATTGGATCTTAACAACAACACACCCACTTTATTCACACCTCAGGAACAACAATTGGAACGCAACGCAACGCATGTCCGCTGACGACATAACTGATGTCACTGGTGTGAATCACTGCCTGTCAGACTTGCCCTTGGGGTGATTTTCCGACACTGAGCTGAAGTTAAAAGACCAAATAAAAGACACTGTGCATATACAGAGCATTCAGAAAGTATTCAGACCCCTTCAGATTTTTCACATTTGTTATGTTGCAGCCATATGCTAAAATTAAAAAAATATATATTTTTCCCTTCATTGATCTACACCGCATAATGAAAAAGTGAAAAGTTCTTCAAATTTATTAAAAAGGAAAAACTGAAATATCACACTGATATAAGTTCTCTTGGCTCTTGAAATTCAGCTCAGGTTCCTCCCATTTCTCTTGATCACCTTGGTTGGAGTCCACCTGTGGTCAATTCAGCTGATTGGACATGATTTGGAAAGGCACACACCCGTCATTATAAGGTCCAACAGCGGACAATGCATATCAGAGCAAAAACCAGACCAGCTGAGTGTGTGCCTTTCCAAATCATGTCCAATCAGCTGAATGGACTACAGGTGGTCCCCAATCAAAAATGAGCAAGAGAAATGGGAGGCACCTGAGCTGAATTTCAAGTGTCATAGTAATAATACTTATGTCAGTGTGATATTTCAGCTTTCCTTTTTGACATGAAGCTGCCACATAACAAACAATGTAAAAAAATTGAAAGGGTCTGAACACTTTGTGAATGCACTTTATATACTGTATTTCTCAGGTGATAAAACAAGCAAACTGAAATGCATCTACTTTATATTGTATTTAGTAAAAAGATGAGATTTCGGTATTTTATCATATGGCATCTACGCTGGACTCATGTTACTGACACATTCTGAAAGCATGTGAACATTTTATTGTTTGTCATGTCAACCTTCAGAAATCGAGCTCAAGGTTGAAAAGAAGAAAAAAAAACAAACAAAATCACTGTTGACAATTCCTAGAAGCAACTAGAAGAAAGAGGAGACAGAGAAAAAGAAGCTCAGCCTCGTCTCTTTTGTTCCACAGGTTATAGAACGTGCTGTCTGGAGCACAAAGGCTTCAAACTCACTGTCTTCTTTCAATTACACAGTTACAAGGTTACTTAAAAGCACAACGACACAAGTTGCATGAAAACCAGCGCTTGTTGTATTGTTGTCATTAGTCCATTAACATGATACTGTTGTGTTCAGCCTTTTGTTTCATTTGTTTCATAATGTTCTCTATGAAAGCAGTTATTTTAGAACAAAAGACAAATGTTAAACAAATGGCCGGGAGGATACAAACTAATTCATTACTGCTCATGATGCAAATCCCACCTAGGACCCCCCCCCCCCAGACTAGTTTTGCTGTGGCTAAAAGTATAAACTGTACATTGTTAGCCATGGAATAACACCTGAATCTGGTTTAAATGAAAACTATGTGACCTAATTTTTGAAACATCTAGATGGACATTTTAGTGAAGTTTTAAAACAAACATTACTTTATAAGTCGATGTGCACGGATGCTACTACTCTAAATAAACACAGACATACATGACTCCTATACGCAACAACAAAACACTCTACTGTATTCACTACAGCATACTGATTACAATTTGTTTCCTTTACTTAAGATGTTTTGTGCTCAAGGTTTCTAAACCCCGTCTTCTTAGACACATCCATTTTAATGCACTTCATACAGCATTGAATATGATGCCGATCAATATTTGGCCAGACATGTTCAGTGGAGGGTTAGTTGGTTAATTTTGTATGAATGTATAAGGTTGAGAACTGTATGTCAACAAAAAGTAGACAGACAACGCTGGAAGGTTGCAATAGGTTTTAAAAAAGGCACACACTGTGTTATCTTGTCTAAACTTATCCCTTCTTCCCACAGTGTCTGTGTGGGCATGTCCTCCACACAAAGCAGTTGTTGGGCTTCATGCGGGTGTCTCTGCACTCGCTGACTAAACCAGACTTAAACCAGACTTAAACCATAGAATATTATTGAGAATATTCCATCTCAATGAAACTGTCAACTGTTATATCTACAAATATGAACTGCCACTCCAGTGTGAGGGACAGGCAAAGTATCAACACTAATTAATCAGCAACTATTCTGATAATTGATTAATCTTTTATGTTATTTTCATAACTAATGCTTTTCTTTGTAAAAGTAAACTGAATATTTTGTTTTTTTGACTGTTGGTCATTTGGGCTCTGCATGGGACATTTCACCATTTAATACACCAAATGACAAATCCATTATTATTTTGGATGAAAATAATCATTAATCGCAGCCCTGCTTTTAAGACAGAGCCCTCTAGTCTCCTAGGGCACAAAATATTCTTTTTTAAAAAGTTTAAACATTTTCCTTGAAGTTACTCTTGGCTAATTTGGAGGCCTGTCAAAATACCCAACACGCTACAGTATCAAGAATGACTGTCAGGGAGAAAGGTCACAGGTAGTCATAAACAGCACATACACATTTAAACAGTTTATAACACACCATAATGCAGTTGTAAACATTATGGGGTGTTGTAGTTGTTGTGAATAATACATTTGTCAACAACTATACCTCCTCCTGTGGACTTCCATACGTGGATAATTGAGAACAACATAGTAAAACGATGTTGTAACTGTTGACAAAACTGTCTGTGTTCATTTAACTCTCAGGTTCTAGACGTCAAAATAATTTCTTGGATCATGTAATATTGGCAGACATCTATCCAAGCTCACTCAACAGTTATACATTGTTCTTTTTAATCACTCACCCCAAAGCTATGTTATTTCTTTGACTGAAAAAACAAAAAGCCAATCAACACTTGTCAACTAAGATCACTTCTAAAATCAAAACCAAGTCACAGTGGAAAATTTGCATTCCACGCAGCGAAGCAGATTCCAGCTTTTCAGACAAGTGAAGACAGAGGAGTTTGTTGAGGAGGAAGAGAAACAACACATCAATTTGTGGCAGCTGAAAGATGACGTCACTGTGGAGGTCACATGCAGGGAACCCACTGCTCTACTGAACAGACATAAAGAGAGAAAGACAGAGGCTGAGAGACTGGACAGGCCACATGTCACAAGGATTGTAAGGGATTGTTCTGCTGTCGCACCGTGTGTTTGTCATGTTGTAATGTAAATATCATCACAACAAAAACTGGTGGAAGCAGTCTGATTTCAATCCCTGCTGTCTTACAAACTGTTTTAGTTTTAGTTGGTTTCTAATTTAATGAACGGGTAAAAAAGTTTTTTTTGTGCTGGTATACCTGCCTCACCATCTCTCATGTAACATGTACATAGTTTTTATACTAGCAGCCACAATTTACTCTTTAGGTCATGTTCAGCATTCATCACAGATTCTATCATTTTTCCTTTCTAATAATTTGATGAAAGAAATGAATCAATGCTAATTTATCGTGAGCTCTTAGTGCCATGTTGCTGCCACTGCCAAGACGGATACCTATCAAGCTTGAAAAGAAAAACAAAGAAATGATAAATAATTGATGAGCGAGGACACACGGCAACTGTGACTCTTGATGAGTCATTGTTTGATTGGAGTTGCTGGAAAAGCCCAGTTATTAAGATGCAGTTCCACCCCATCAAACTCAAACACCCACACTCACATATATTGATATAATAACACATATAATGACCTCATCGTATTCGAGTCACCCTATTTAACACCCATTGAGGAATAGTGATTGAAGTATTGTCTGTGTGAGCACTTCATCAGTTGTGCATTCACTAAAAAGAAACTTCCTGCTGCCAACTACATGGATTAAAGCTTTTGTGGTGAAACATAACAAATGACGGAGGTAACAGAAGGGTTGGCAGAGTCTGCAAGGTTTGAGGCACCGAGCGACGCTTTGGTTAGTGTGACCAGCTGGCACCCCCCGTGTTAACATGGCTGTAAATCCTTCAGATGACAACAGAGACACAAAGGAATCAGTGTGCAGCTCTGACCTGTGCTCCTTGGAGACACAGGTAGTGAACAAATAGATTTCATCAACCACCACCTTTACACACATGCTGGCTACAGCATTATTATCCATTATTCATCATTGATGTGATTATTCAATTATATGTTCAGTCAGTACATTATCCTGAAATATATATAGTGAAAAAGTCCTTTCACAATTTCCCAGAACCCAATGAGACATCTTAAAATGGTTTGATTTGTTCAGCCAGCGTTTCAAAACCCAAAGACATTCAGGTTATTATCATTTAAGATAAAGTAAAGCATGAAATTCTCACATTTGAAGTGGTAGATTTCTATCGCAGTGGAACCAAGTGGTACAAATGCATTAAAGAAATGTCTTTTACACAGATCAGTGTACTGTACTTACAGTCATTTTTTCAACCAATAGACCCGTAATTCATGGAAAACTGATCTCTTCTGCTTAGAAACCAATGAAGAAATATTATACAGTACTTAGTCAGCAGTAAAAAAAAAAAACAAAAAAACAAACTTACAGATGAAGCTGTTCTCCTTGAGCCAGTGGCGAGAGGAGGAGCGGGAATTCACGTCAGCGGACTGTCAAGCCTGAGAGACAAACAACGTTTGGATTACAATTTGTCAGATCACACAGCACAGCAAAATATTTGAAATGAAAATAAAAAAATATATATATATGTATATGTGTGTGTGTGTGTGTGTGTGTGTATATATAAACTGACCGATTAACAGCATTTTGGCCAGTTGAAACTATGTGATTGATCTTAGATCAGCAACAAAGACCCCTGACCATATTACCCCCATAAAATGGACACAATACTTTCTCTCTGACAAGCATGTAAAGGATCATAGATATTTACACATTACAGTGGACAGTATAAAGTAGTTTTGATAAGTCTGAGTTATAAGAAAAGTCGGACGCCCAGAGAAGTGAAAAAGCTGCTGGACTTCTTCTCTTCATGCAAGGAATCTAGCACAGTTCCTACGTTTTCAAATAAAATGCTTGACAGTTCAATTTACCATCCAGCACATACACACAGATATAATTACACACACAAATACGATTCTTCCTGTTTTCACAGTCAGCAGTTTTTTCATCACTGCTCCTTATATGACAAACTCTGACCAAAGCGACCCGGTCTGAAACACTAAATGCCCGGTGCAGACAGGCATGTATTCATCAGCTGGAAACGAAACATCAGTGTCCAGCAACAGAAAAGGCAGTATAGTATTCACATCACCAGTAAAGCCATTAAGCAGCCAGTAAGTGAGTCATCAGTCTGGCAGCCGGAGTCCTTTTATCAAGAAGCTGGATGTATGTGGCCTGTTGTTTCAGCACTGACAGACGATAAAAGGGGCAGTGGCCACATGACCGGGTGCACAGAAATGTACAACTGTATAGACATGCAATAAACTAGGCTTAAAGGGAAATAGAGCTAAATATCACAAGTGTAACGTAAGAGTATGGCACGCCAGTGAAATGTCACTACTGTGGCATGGTAGAAGAGCTAGTGTGGGATGGCAAACTGATGCACAGCTCTAAAAAAAATATTTGCAAAAGAGAGAAATTCCCAGAATAATATTCTCGAGATGAATCAATTTTCCGTTTTTAATTTTTGTGTTTTGGGAACTGAAATATAGCCAACAGATGTTGAGACAGATGTTCAAGTCAGCAGCAAAGTTAGAATAACTGTATGTGGTCTGCCGGTAGCAGAAGTTCCTATAGTAGAGTTTCACAGATAATAAATCCCAGTATAGTTGGAATATTACAGGAGTAGTGGTGGTAGCAATGTCCACCTGACCAGACAGAAATGAACTGCAGTGGTGTGACCAATTCACACAATTCCTTCCTAATCTCAACCAAATTGTTTTGTATACACATCCTCACACATGAAGAAGACATAATTAAAATTAAATGAGACTTTATGTTTAAAATGTTGGGACACATTTATGTTCAATAACACATCTGTAAAGGAATATCATAAGAATTTCTCACAATAGCTTTCATTGTTAACAGTGCATTGAAAGATGAAAGCCACCAAAACTGATCAGTTTCAATTCCCCCATTCAACATAAGTCTATCTGATATTGATATCTTCGTGATATTTTGGCACATTTTTTCCATTCGTTGCAGTGTATTTGGCAACTTTTACCAAACAGTTGCTACTTTTGTGCCACTGCAACAGTGGAACAGTTTAATTTTCTCCATAACTTACGTATGACGCTGTGGTCGATGTCAAATGACTTGCTGACAAACAGTAGCGGCTTTAATCGAACACCAAAAGGTTCAACACAAACATATTTCCAGTCTCCACTGTTACAGAGATTACAAAAGGTCACTTTCAAGTCTCTATATTGACTGAAGTATTATGTTGATTTATTCAACTGGGTAAAATAATCAGCCCAACTAGCTCTATTTATCTACAGCAAGTCTTAGCTGACCTCATTTGACTTCACTGCTAAATGGACAGTGATTGATTATGTGAGGGCGTGTAACACTTGGTTTATGGACCCAACCAGCAGCTCTGCCATTACTGTGTCAATGTGGGTTTACCCAGACTTTCCATAACATCATTTACACATATATATTCCCTTTTTCTTTTTAACTGTCCCAAACTCGAATATGTTTCAAACTCATATACTTCTCTGCAAGAGTAACCACTAACTGGGAATGTGTCTTACCTCGTTTGTCCTCATCATCATTCTTCATGGGAAACGTGTGTGTAGGCTGTAACTGGGTGCAATACATCATTAGTTAGAAATGTGTTTCAAACCAGACACATAGAGACAAAAAACTGTCAAAGTAGACTGTCAAAAGGAAGACAGATGCCCACAGTTCAAAGTCCTGAGAGGGATGAAGAGCGCAGCCGAAATACAGACAAGAAGCCTACGTGATGTGACTGAATCAAAAGACCTTTCAGTGCAACTCAAGATGTTTCACTGCTGATCATGTTTTTCTCGAAAATAGCGTCTGTGAAGCTCAAATGACGGAAACCTGCCACCTGAGCATCGTTAAACATGAGTTTTCTGCACCAACGAAATCCCCTATGCTTTAGCATGATAAACTTCAGACGGATATTGCGCAAATTTAGCAAAACTTTAAAAATGTCGCGCGGTTTTAGGTTGTAGGCTACAGAACAAAGGCATTACTACACAGTGCAGACCGGATAGCGTCGGTAGAAGATACAAAGACATTAAAATACTTTATAAAAAATCGTTGGGAATTAAGGAAAATTTACATCTTATCTATAACGAGATACGTTCAGTCTCTTACCGGTGCTATATCCGCTTTCCCACGCGATGCTGCCGTAGCGACACAACGCGCCGTCTCCTGTTTCTCTGCCGCGCGTCAGAAGCACGCGCCCCTTTTTATCAGCTTCCATTTGTGCTATTCGCGCTCGTTCCCCTGCCCGACCCCGGGAGCGCATCGATTGGCTTTGACACCGACGACGCAAATGCTTCCGTTTACCAATGGCTGTAAGTGCGCACGCCCTCTCTGCCTTCCCACTGCTGCCTGCCCTGTCCATTTGATTTCCAGCCAGAGTATAGATCTGTTTCACCGGTTCAATAAGGCTGCAACTCCCTGGCTCTGCCTTTCATCGACTCCCTCATGTGTTTTAGCTGATTGTCTCTTTAAATAGCAGTTATATGTGTACCAATGTAGTGATAGTTACTCATACTCATTGTTATTCTGGGTATGATATAATGACGCAAAGTTAAATTAAAGTTTGAAGTTTTATACTACGGGTCTTGCTCGTTAGAAAGAGCAATGGTTACTGCTATAGGCCTAACAGGTTGTTCCAGTAGCAAAATTAATATAGGTTAATTAAATAAATTCCAAATTCCATAACTTTTATCTAGCTATCTAACAAGATATGTATTTGCCTGTTCTCCAGTGTTGTGCTGCTTTACATTACATAGTTAATAGGTGCATTTATATAACAAATTCATCCAAAACACTTACACAGAACAGTACAATTTACCTCTCATTCACACTCTCCCTAATGGCAGTGAGCTGCAAAGCAGGGTGCGGGTCTACCATCAAAAGCAACTGGGGTTCTGAGTCTTGCTCAAGAACACATCAAACCACCAACCCTGTGATCTGTGGATGATCCATTCTACCTCCGGAGCAGCCCCATAAATATTAGCCTATACGAATATAATGTTGTTGATCTGTGTAGTTGTGCTGGAAAAGGAATTAAATTGTACAATGTTAAATTTTTTGTGCTAGTTTGAGGTGTATTGATAAATTACATTGCATCACTTTGTGTTACCCAATTCTGCGTTGCGATGTTGTGTTGAACCATTGCACTGTTCAGTTCTTTTTCATCTTGTGCTGTGCTGTGTTGTGTTAAGCCATGTGGCAGCACCTTACTGTATGTTTAACACCACAACCTACAGCGATGCACTATATATTACAGTATCTCACAGCAACATAATAGGCTGTGTTGTACTGTGTTACATTACTGTAAACTGTGTTGCACTGTGTAGTGTTCAAGGCCAGACTCAGCAGTCTTTAGAATAATTTTGATGCCTTAGCTGTTGCCAGGCAACAGCTGTCCTGGAACAGAGATGAATGGGGGTCCCTGGGCTCTTTCTCTTTCTTCATCTCATCTTTACCTTCATCTTTTTTTATTTTCAGTGTCTCACTCGCAGATTATGTTGAGTATAAATGCAGTTAGGCTTAATCACTTCCTAGCAGTTTCTCTTTTTGAGCAGATAGCCTACTTATAAACCATCAGGGTGTCAAGCCATGGGTTGAGGGATACTGTGCAACTCTGATTCATATGATCTCATTGTCCCTTTTGTGAACCAAGGGGCAGTAGGTGTTTCTTTCAACATCTGTCTTAAGTCTTAACGAAGTCAGGGTTAATCAATCTCCAGCTTTTCTTCATGAAATATGTAGTTAACAGATGGCTTGTCTGGATCCACAGCCACCTTAAGGGCTCTCTCGGTTGCTGATGGACCTTATCTTGCACATAATGGCCCAGGAGTGGACACTTGGCTTGGAAACCCTATGCAGAGAACCTTGATGGGCAAAGGCATCACCCCTTCCTCTGGCACTGTTCCATATAGTTGTATTTGGCCCTGTTCATCTTGCTGGTGCTGCTGACAACCAACAGGGGAATTTAAGCTACATCAGTGGACAAACGTTTAGTCAAAAATCTTTGGTATGTCATTCCATACCATATACAGTTTACATTAAATATTGCACATACACAGCTTTGAAAGTCTTCTCCATAAGTGCTTTTCACACAGCAACATTGATGCAGCCACTAACCTGTCTGTGGGATGTTTGTCCATACGTGCTGAATCTCCCCCCTTGTGAAATGTGATCACTGGAGGCGGATAGCACAGATGTTTTTCATAGAAATAATTCATTTGCAGAGTGTGGGTTTCTTTTTTGTGTGGTGGAAATGCACTCCAAGCAAATTGGTGAGGCAGCTTCAGTGCATTCCTGACACACGCGAATAGCGAACGAAATTAAACCAGTCAAGTTTAATGCAGCTGCAGGGCTGATTTCTAACACATTGTATTTAACCCTGAAAAGATAATGTTGGCTTTTATCATTCTTTTGTTTTGCAGCTTTCTCACAATTGGCAATATTGTTGATCTGTACAATTTAATATCAATGTTTCTGTGCTTGCAAAGAGCAAAACAGATAGGGATGTAGGGAGATGTTTTTCAGTGAAAATTACAGGCTACGAGGCACAACATGGAGCTGTTTTACGTGCTGCTTGTTGAATACTGCAAAATATCTAAATTATTTAGCAGCTGTTCACACCTGAATTTCTGTTCGTCAGGCCTAAGGTCCGGTCAGACAGAAATGTACTGACCACCAAAACACACTGACCCACACACAACCTCTTCCTTCTTTTCTAGCCTGTGCCTCGTGGGAGGCTGTTACTGAGGTCCGCTCCAGTCACTCCTGCTGCTGTACTATATGAATAGTGTGCAGGTGTCTATTTGAATGCATCATCCATCAGCACTGGACAGAGATAAGCTTTCCAAAAGTCAAATCAAGTTCTCCATCCGCTTCACTGAGCCCTGTGAAATTCACTTTCCATACCAGCATTCATCTCGTCGCATCATCAGCAGTGAAACAGAAGACAGAGCCCACACATTTCTTTCACTATACAGAGAGATTTAATCAATGTTAGAGAAACAAATGCAGTCAGGATTTTATGAAATAACCTTTCAGAGCTCTTCAGCACTTGTTAGTGTTTTCAAGGTTTGGGTATGGGAGGCACGATAGACAGAACAAACTTTCTTCCTATTGAACATGTCAGTTGTGAGACACAGTATAATGCCTGTCCTTTCAAAACCTATCTTTGATAGTCTCTGAAGTGGGGCTATCTACACAAAAAGAAGAACCTCATTAATAGTTACCAACAGTGATGAAACAGAACATGAGGATGTAATATTGATTTACAGATTCCAATGGCCTCTGATGATGAAACATTAAAACTGACTTGAATCTCAAACAGAGATTTTTCCACTAACAGTTTGCACAGGCACTTGTGACTGAGTCCGTAGGTTAAGCCCTCACCATTAGTATGAAGCACACTAAAAAGCACACTGCCTAAAAACATACATGTACAGTATTTACCATTCAACATGTAAAAATATAATTCACAAACTGATCTTTTGTAAATATTATGAATCTCTTTGTCATCTGCAGGAATATAAAATGAATGTGGGTACGGCTCACACGAGAGTTAAACACAGATGCTCAGATGTATGATACATACTAACCAGTGCTTTCTCAAATGCCTCTGCTAGCTTTTGAGCATCATGTTGCTGCATAGTACAGATCAAAGCCTACAGTTCAGTGGTGAATATGCTCCATTTTTGCAGTCTACAATGATCTTTGGTGAGAATGTAAACAATTGCACCAAAACAAAAAGCAAGGCTTCAAAGTCTTGAAAACAAAAACACACAAGATCTCCATACAAATATATATATTTCACCTGATTAGGAATCCTACAACTAGTTGTCAGATAGCACGGATTAAGATGACTTGCCCTGCCTTTACACTTTGAACACTGTAAACAGTGCTCATATTAAGCAAGCCATAATTCAGTATAGCCAGTTCCCCCTTGAACAGTGAGGACAGATAACACAGTGAGTATTGTGGTGAGCATTAAAATATAGTTACTCTTTTGGATCCCTTTATGATATTGATTAACTGAAGCGTAATGAAATAGCAGGTAGCTGCAATGAACAGGGTGATTTGGGGGTTGAAGCAAAGGCGAGACAAGCTAAAATACACGGGTTAAGGTGGATAGTGACGGTGTTAAAGCATAAGCAGGGTACAGGCATCATTGTTTCCCTAGTCCCAGACATAAGGCACATTAATAGGGTACATAGTGTTGTCTATAATACCCCCTAATATATCAACATCGGCCTGATAACATGCCCAGTAAATCTGACATTTTCAAGCCTGATCATCATCCCCATGGAGTGCACAACACTTGTGCCCCTTAGTCTGCAGTTTATCCATTCAACTATCCGTCTACCCACCTATCCATCCATCCTTCTGTCTGTCTGTCTGTTCACTGTCCAAACGCACTCTACCACTGCTCCCAGCTGAAGTCATCGCCACCTCCAAACACAACAAAGAAGCCAAGGATGGTGAGGAAGATGACAGCGTTTCCCGTCATCACCAGACCGCAGGCACCCCACTGGATCTGTAAGAGAGAAATATCTTAACTGAGGTGGCCAAAAGATATCAGTGGTCATCTATTTGCATTCGCATACAGAATATTTCAACATATGTCAAGAGAACTTACTGTGCTATTGCGGGCTAAGACAATAGGGAGCCCAAAAGATGATACGACGATGCCAGTTGTTAAGAAGTAGGCCAGCTCTCTGCATGCATTGCTGGAGGAGTCAGTGTCATCACTGACACGTCTGGATATAAAGGTCGGGATGGGGCTCAATATGTAGAAAATCAGTACGAACAGAGGCCAGTATACCCTACAAACACAGGTATGGAACAGTTAAAAAGATGGTTCACATTTTAAGACAAACAGTGGTATGAGTTTGCAGCTTCTCAGATAAATCTCTCATGACTAAATGTATTTAACAAAAATATATTAGACTAAAACAGCTAACTACACACAACAGAATGAAACTCTACAGATTTTGCACATGAAGGTCAGTTTGCACATCACAAGAGTTACTGTTACGCCTGTAAAAAAAAACACTATACAATGTTTTCTGTGACTCTGAAGGAGATTTCTAAAGTCTGAAAAAATAATCCTGATGACATCAGAGATATCTCAGCTTGGGTTGAAGTTTAAAGTTTTTAACAGAGAGCCAGCATTACAAGCTGGGAGCGTGGGGTTAGAAAGAAGTGGGCATTTAGGGGCAGGGGAGCTCTAATGAAAGGCGCTATTGAGTTGAATTATGGAAATTGTGGGATTCAGCATTTCTGAGCCATAACAGGCTATATTTCTGGACGTCTGCTGCATTGAAGATGACCTTTTTTTTTTAACCCTGCCACTCAAAAGTCCATCAACTTTAATACTCAATTACTGGAGGGTATTTATGAGTACAGTCATTTCTCTGTAATAAATTACCACATCACCGGAAGAAATAAATGTACTATCCCTTTAAGAGTCAACAATGTATGTCAAGTCAAGTCTGCCCTATACAATGACATAGATGCTTTGTTGTAACAAAGAACCTACCCATACTGTTCCAGTGCACAGCCCAGCAGAAGAAATGTCAGCCCAATGGCTCCACTAAAGGACAAACCAACCAGTGCTGAAAGCAGAGAAACATCAGTTACATTATATTACATAGGCACAGATATTTATATTCTATCCAACGTATAATGAGAAACAAAGCAGACTTGTAGCCCTTGGTACTAACAGTTTGTGGCTAACTGTTAAATATACTGTGAAAAATAGCAACAACATAATATTCAAAACCGCTTAATATCATAATAATGGAAAGAAATAGCCTGCAAACATAGCAACGATAGCTTTCGACATGATTCAGCACAGGTTTTCAAACATTTTAAAACTCGGTTAACAAAGTTCTGAAGCACAGTCGCCAAAGAAAACCGTCCACTTGTTAAACGTAACTCCAAACTGTCGACTAAAATACCTTTAATGCCAGCCATTACGATAAATGTGTGAAAGTTTCTCTTTTGACTTTTGTTCTGCTCCTTCGCTGTTGTTTATGTGCTCAGGCTCTGCTTCTTGGTAAAACCACTTCCTGCTTCCTCCATCGGGTCCTTCTTTGTCATCAGGTGACTGTTAAAGCTACAGTTCAGTCGCTCGGGATCACTCGCTGTGCACATGCAAACTCACTTGAACGCAACGGGGTGCTGCCGACTCTTCTTCTTCTGTTTCTGACCGCTTGTGGTGCACGAGGTTCCCAGGGCCGTGTTTAACACCCAAGAACGCTTCCTCAACCACTGTGTTTTACATGTAAGCAGTATACACTGTTATACATTATTTATATTATTAGCCTACATAAGTTGTAAATAGTAACATTAATAAAGGCTGAAGTCCATTTAATTTCTAATTTATTTTCACACATTTGTGAGTGGTTTTACTTCCTCTTCCATTATCACATAGTTCCCTTACTAAAATGTTACATACTCTTTATGTAACTTTAAAAAAAAAAAATGAAATGGTTGCTCTGAAAATTGTTGGAGGAACTACAAAACCCACAGTAAAAAAAAAATACCCTCAGATGAACCAGGGCTAAACTCAGTGTGTCTCCCCTTTGTTAGGCTTCAGGCCCACTATAATATGGAGATTAAACTGGGTGAAAGGTACAGTACTTCAAAGGGCATGACTGATCACACAGCTAGACCAGATGTTAGCGGACTGATGCTGCTGCCGTACAGATGGAAATCCTGTATCCACCATACCTGGATAAGTTCCCTTCAAAAAGTTACAGCTTAAATGTCTCCTGTTTCACCTTGGTGTGGTAAAGAAGATTTTGTAAAGGAATGATCAATAAAGTCTGAAGTTCTGGTAATAAACTGCGCCTTAATATCGCTTTGCTGCTGTTTCTTGTAATTTTCAGGACAGTTACTGCCAATGGAAAAATGTGTTTGTGCCTCTGTTTGTGTTTATGTTTGCATGAGCTGGCATGTTGTCACTCATCCTGCAGCACCCACATGCTCAACTTCAATTTAAGGTTGTTATTAGCTGATGAGTTTTAATTCCCCTGAATGACAGAGTAAGCATCATCCAAATAATAATTTGAGGCTTCATAGCAGGAAACACCCAGTTTCTTTGAAAATGATAGCTGGGTGCACAAGGAGGTGTTATTCATTAGATAAACCTTATGTTGCTTTCTTATTTTCTTCAAAATCAACAAATCTTTAGTTCTCCTTTCTGCAAAACCATTGTGCTGATACGCTACCACAAATCTTTAAAAAAGAAGTGAGAAAGAATAGATGTTGCTATAAAGAAGTTTCAGACAGGAAATGAAACTGCTGTTTTCAAACCACAGTGAATGTTTAATAAGAGAACATTATGTCATAATAGGTTGTTTTGATCTCTAAGAGTGATTTTGAAACCCTACTGCTTTTTGCCAGTGACTCATTGCTACAAATCACAATCACAGAAGTAGAATCGACATGGACCACACGTCACACGTAATCCAAAAATAAAAAGCTGTTTAATGTGTTACAGAGACAGTCACTGAATATAGTTTCAACCTAAAACGCATGCCGTGCGGCTACATTTGGAATTTAAGCTCAGTTCATACAAAAATCTGGAAAGAAAAACAAAATGGGCATTACTGAAGCCATGATGGAGAAAAGTGAGGAATCATGTGATGACTGACGGGCCACTTCGACCTGTCCTGTGATGGAGCTGGGAAATCTTCAGAGCGATTGTTGCCAGGGGTGCCAGTATCACCTGTAACAAACAAGGACAATATATAAGCAATATTGTTTATTAGTATTTTTACTTAGAGATATTTTATTCCAGAATGTTCAATTTAACATATTTTTGGGTTATTTTGATCAAACTACTCTTTAAATTGTCATAATTAGACATCTACCTGTGTGTCTTCAAAAATGTGCTCCCTCTCATAGCTGTCAATGTAGATTCGAACAGTCGCCCCGTCACTACCTGTGCCACTGAGTCTGTAGATGATTCGAGAACCATCAGAGAAGATGATCCGCAGACCCTGCAGTGAAAACAGCCCAGCACAGACCATATGAAGCTTTCAGGATTTGCAGGCACAGCTGAGTGGCTACGATGCTGAAAGAGCCCAAACACTCAGTGAGCATGGGACACAGGATGTATCTGTTCATATAATAAGATAATCATTACCGGAATACATCTCGGTGTGTGTCATGTACCTGGTTCCTGGAGATGGTGCTATCAACAGGATCTGTGTACTCAAAGTTGTCAGCTTTTTCCACTTGGTAGATTTTGTCTTCCACAGCAAATCTCTGCTTCACGAAGGACTTGTCTGAAATCATGAACTCCAAATCCTCCATCATCTCACAGGCTGCGTCTATGTCGACATTCTCATAGTCATACCTGGACCAAACAACAACACATTTTAATTACAAAATAAAAAGTGTTTTATTAATCAACAAGTTCTTATGTGACACAGCAAATAGACTTTTCTGTAACAGTCAGGGTTTAGAGTTTAGAGCTTATATTATCTTAAGGCGGTGAAAACTTTCAAAAATTTTAAATTAACTCCAATAATTTAGAAGACTGTTTTCCACCATAGAGCAACAATACTCACCAAATTTACAATTCTTTGCTAATGTAGTGTTTTAAGATTATTTGTAACCAATGGTAAGTCAGCAGAGCAAACCATTTTTTTTTTAATGACAGATTTAAGCTTCAATTTGAAAATATATGTATTTATAGTGATGGCAACACAGGCAAATAATATGAAAGATCACAGAGTCCCTGACTCATTATTTTACATTATCGTTCACTGCACAGCACAAGGCTTGACAGAATGTGCAATGGCATATATTTTCCACTAGATGTCAGTCTTTACATGTGGCAGCACAGGGGATTTCTCAGCTTGCCTCTTAATAGCTCCATCTACAGACAGGTGAGAGATTAAACAAAAAACCTGAAAAATGGTGGAGAAACAGGATGACAATGACCCCATCCAATAGGTGGAAATGAAAGGGAATATCTTTTGGAAGAATGGTGTTCATCCCTCCAGTAGAGTTCAAAGACCTGTACAATCAATGTCAAGAAGCACTGAAGCTGTTCTGGTGGCATGTGGTGACCAGTATCTTACTAAGACACTTGGTTTTTCCTTTGATATGTCACCTACTCAAAAATAATTATTCCCCTGTTACTAACTTTTTGCTGTCCTCTTCCTTGTGATTTCAAAACATTTTGTATCGAGTGAGATGAATGAAAGGTTTCAGTGGTTGTCAGTGGTTTATGATGGTTGATGCTGTAAAACCACAAATACAAACTCAGAAAAAACAATGGTGTTTACTTGTATGATTGACTCCCAATCATTTGACATCTCACCTGGTGAAGTAATTTCTTCCATATTTTAGCCAGTGGTCCTTAAGAATATCCTCTACACTCTGCCTTCTGCTGGCCAGAATGGACAGCCATGCCAGCACAGCCCAAAGCCCATCCTTTTCCCGAATATGGTCTCCACCTGAAAGATGATATGATGATATCATCTTTATTCCCCCCCCACAGTATTTCAGTCAAGATGAAGCATCTTTTGATCAAATAACTCACTGAAGACGTACAGTACCTGTACCAAAGCTTTCCTCTCCACACAGAGACAGTCGGCCTGCGTCCATTAGGTTCCCAAAGAACTTCCACCCAGTGGGAGTTTCATATAGCTCTATTTTTGTTGCCTTGGCTACTCTGAAGGAAAATACAGTGAAAGAGTATTCTAAGAAAGCACAGAGAAACTTTGAAACACCAGCAGAAGGCAACACAATTTATTCAATACAGGTCCGGTTATATCGTTATTGTACATCTAAATACAAAGATTAAATCATTCAACCTTGAAGAACTCTTAAGTTTGACTTGGCCACAACTTGGAAAAATCAAAGGCTCATTGGTTTTGATAGTGATATGTGAAAGCCAGGCCAAGGTTTTACCTGTCTAAGGCTGCACTTGTGGGCATGCTGCGAGCGAAGCCTCTCACCCCTGTATGCTGGAAGTATGGGATGCAGAAGATGTTGTCAGCAATCACAGCCACAGAGTCAGACGGGGTGACGAAGAAGCCGTGTTTACCAAGGATCATGTTACGGTCCTAGAAAGCCGACAGCCAGACAGAGGTCAGAGATCAAAGCCTTTGGTTCAGGCCCAGGTTCCAGACATGAATGTAAAGGATAATTTTTGCTTGATGTCATTTTATAAATTCGAGCAGAAATAAAGAAATAAGAAACCAGTGCACACACCCCATCACCATCAAAAGCTGCACCAAAATTATGCTGTCCATCTCTCATGCTGTCAACCAGATCTGCAGCATAGGTGAGGTTAGGGTCTGGGTGTTGACCCCCAAAATCCTCCATTGGGATACAGTTAATTGCAGAATTGGCAGGACAACCCAACTCCTCACACAGTATTCTCCTCACATATGGTCCTACCACTGGGGAGACAGGGATAAGACAGGGCTGATTATAAAGACTACGGAAGTCAGATCTGGTATGAAGTAGCATTATCGGCATTGCTCTCTTTAAAGCAGTAGTTTGACATTTTGGGAAACTCCACTGAAAATGTTATTAAAACTGAACAATGTGGCTATTTCAGTGTACGGGGTGCCGAATGTAAAAATTCAGTTGCAATTTTTTAGCTGATATATTTTGAATATTTACTCACTTTCATTGCATTGAGGAAGGTGTACGGTTCTTTATGGACGGTTTTTCACACGGTTTTTACCGTTCACTCTACATGCACAGAGAAGATAAGGCCAGCCATCACATCATATTTCACCTTTGCAATATAAAAGTACTGTTAACTAAATTATCTAATGAAAGGAAACATCATCTAACAGTAAACACCGTCCGGACATCCATTCTTGAAGCGGGTCAAACTAGGGTCTTCTCCCGCACCCAGCCCGGTAGCTAAAATCAGGTGAGGATAGTCACTACAGGTACCGTCCACACTATTAACGGTAAGGTAAGTAGTTTTAATTTTGACTTTTCAAAGCATTCTGGAGGGAGATATTGTTAGCTAACCTGACCAGCTAGCTACCGTTTTGTGTCACCACTTGGATGCTAGCTAAGGTTAGCTAAGGTTTTTACCTTGTGTTGTGGGGACCTGAAA